GGGGGGGGTTTGCTTACCGCAGTCTCCTCGACATAGGCTTGTCGGGCTGGATGCATGATGTTGGGCTAGAAGCTTGCGCTTTGAATTCAAATTAAAAGTACAAAGAGTTCAAGTGTTGAACCTAGAGGAGGAAATGCGAAGAGAAGAGGCGGAAAGTGTGGCAGAATTGATAAAGCTTTGGCGGTGATGCAGGAAGTATATAATTTGGTCACTTTGGTGAAAAACCACGTTCATAGCCCTAAGATAAAGCTGAAAGTATTCTTATGGTGTTTTTAATACGACATGAGCGTATAGAAACTACTATTAACCCGTATGTGGCCGTGAATAACCACGGCAGCCTCAGATCTCAGGCAACGAAAAAAAACCAAATGACGCCAGGCGGTCGATAAGAGCGGGTACAGTCTTATCCACGTCCTTGGAATTTTGTTTCTTTGTACGTCTTCACTTTGACCTAACTTGGGCACTCTGGGCCCTCTATATATACTCCCAGACCTGCAATGATCCCGCCAAGGGTTTCGTGTAGGGCCTGCAGTTCCGCCTGCAGTAGCCTACAAGCCATCGCTCGAGATGGGGTGTACGCGGCCTCCGCCAATCCCAGCACATACAGGGCCTCGTTACTTCTCAGCAAGCCTCACGTCCGGCTCTATGCAGTCAGACAAAAATCACATCTGCAAAGTCCCACGCTTCAAATAAAAGCCCAAGCCCAATCCCGCCGGGGATTTCATTCCACGCCAGCAACACACCTCGAAAAACACCCCTCTCCTTCTCCTTCACCTTCCTCCCCCTCCTCAACGCGCCTCTCCTACCGCGTCGCCGTCTCCTCAAGCGGCAAAGGCCGCCGCTTCAACCCTCTCACAAACTCTTACAACTTCGACCCCTCCGCCGACGCCCTAGGCGTAACAAAAGACAAGAACAGCGTCAGCAGAAGGCGCAACCGCCCGGACAGCGGCGAAGATGCCTTCTTCGTAAGCCGAATCGGAATTCGAATCTCGGACCACCAACATGAAAACGCCGAAGCAGTCGCCTTCGCCGTAGCAGACGGTGTCGGCGGCTGGACCGAATCCCGCGTCGATCCGGCGGACTTTTCGCACGGGATTTGCGGCTACATGGCGCACACGGCACAGACCTGGCACCAGCCTGCTGAGCAGCTCCGCCCTAAACAGCTCCTCCAGGCTGGGTATGACCAGGTCGTTGCTGATCCGACGATTCGCGCCGGTGGTAGTACCGCCTCTGTTGGGATTGCGTTGCCGGATGGGCGGGTTGAATTGGCGAATTTGGGGGATTCGGGGTCTGTTCTTTTACGGAGGGCTGCTGTGCATCAGTATTCTGTCCCGCAGACACATGGGTTTAATACGCCGTACCAGCTTAGTGTTATCCCGCCCCGGATGCGTGCCCAGGCTTCTGTCTTTGGTGGTGCCTTTTTGGAGGATTTCCCTAAGGATGCCAGTGTTACCAATCTCAAGATGCAGCATGGGGATGTGTTGATGCTTGCTACCGATGGCGTCTTTGATAATCTGAACAATCAGGATATCCTCAAGCTCGTCACCGGCCGGATGATCCTGACCGGCGCGTGGACAGCCACCGATTCTGGCGTCGGCGTTTCGGATAACTTGCGCGCTTTGACTGCTCCTGGTGGTCTGGCTGATGCGTTCCCTTCCACGTCAAGTTTGGCCAAGTCCAAGAAGGAGACAGATGTCGAAACCCCTGTTTCTCGCCCTGAAGACCAAATCACTTTGCAGTCTGTTCTCGCTGCTACCATTGCCGGCGAGGCGAAGAAGGCTAGCATGGACTATCGCCGCGATGGTCCCTTTGCTAAGGAGGCCCAGCGCTATTATCCCGGTGATTACTACCGCGGCGGCAAGGTGGATGACATCTGTGTTGTGATTGTCGTGGCTATCGATGATAGCATGGCTTCCAGCGGTGCAGTCTGAGTGACGGAGATGGAGATCGAAATTGGAAACCTGGATAACACATAGATACGGCGTCATTTTGTACCGTTCTTTTCTTTCTTTTCTGGTCTTTTCTTTTGTCTGGGTGGCTGGGGGCATTGGTATATAACTAACTGCATGGCTGTGCGCATATAACTTAGAGGCGCGGGGGCTTTCCGATTTCATTTTGCGAAAGGAGCTGAGCATAGCATTTCTTGTGCATCTGTCGTGTTTGGTCGATACCTTGACCTTGACTATATTATAGAAATAATCTACCGATTGCAAGACGGATTTTCGGATTGTGATTACTACTGCTATACTGCTTCTGGATTTATTCTATCAACTAGGTATGTTACAGCGTAGCAGACAGTCTGAATGTTGCTAGCTCATTACATACATGCCTAGTAAGAACTTGAATCCTGTCCACACCATAACCACATTCATCTCCGACTCCCTGGATTCCCTGAATTTGGAGCACAACTAGCTCGAGAGCTAATGATCGGCATAGATCGAGACTATCATCGTACAACCTTCGGAGTGAATGACGTCCCATGTAACTGTAACCTGTAACTCCTATGCACATGCACCAGGGTCAGGGAAAGGGAAAAGAACAATGTACAGAATAAGTTTCTGTTAGGGAATATCAAAAAAGAAAAAAAAAAGAAACAAAAAAAACAATCACATTTTCCATTGATTCAAAAGGTTGGCTGGGTGGTGCAGCCCCGTAATCCCAGGCGTAGAAAAAAATGACAAAGATACAGAAACAGACCAGCGGTAAGCGCGTACGTAGATTGAAACAAAGACAGAGAAGAGAACAAGAAAAGGGGAGCGCAAAAGGTTCCGTGCAAGAAAACAGACGTCATGAAGTGTGCATCTCAGACCACTCAAGCGGCGGTCTAGGCAGTCTTCTCCTCAGAAGGCTCGTCGGCGGGCTTCTCTTCGGGCTTTTCAGTAGATTTCTCTTCCGTCTTCTCCTCTGTGGTCTCCGTAGGCTTGTCACCATCGGCGTTCTGCTCCTTCTCGGGCTCAGGGGCCTTCTCTGCGTCGGCATCGGGCATCGGGGAGTCGAGGTCATCCTTGGCTGACTTGGACTCGGGCTCCTTCTCCTCCTCAGTCTCCAGCTTGGGGGTGTCAGCTCCGTCATACTCCTTGTTGGAGCCGTTAGCAGTGGGCTTGTCGTCCTTGTCAATCGCACCAGCAGGAGTGTCTGCGTCCAAGATGTTCTTCCAGCTGGACAGAATGTTCATGGCGCGGTGACGGAAGCCAAAGTCCTCGTCGCGAGGAATCGAGTTGAGCTTGACGATCATCTTCAGAACCTTGTTGATCTTAGTAGAACGGATGATCGAGACCTCCAGATCAGCGTGCTTCTCCAGCTTGTCAAAGTAGGTGGCCATGCTGGCCATTTCATCTTCCTTGGGGGGCTGGTCGCGGGAGATGAAGCCCTTCTGGAGCTTGTGACGAAGGAAAAGAACTAAAAGGCGTAAGCGCTCTGGGTCGGGCGGGCCTTGGGGAGGGGGTGATCCAGGGTCTGGGGAAGACGTACTTTCTTTCTCCTTCTTTTTCTTCAATTCCTCGGGGTCCACGGGCTTGGGGGATTCCTTAGCACCGGCACTGGCATCCTCGTCGTCGCTGGGGGCGGGAGCGGCCTTGCCCTTCTTGGTTGGGGCTTTCTTGGTCTTGCTTGCAGGTGTTTTCTTCTCCTCGGGGGCCTTGGGGGTAGTCAACTTCAGCTTGGTATTGGTCTTGGGAGTCTTGGCTGGCTGTATGCACAAACGGCAGATTAGCAAAGGCAACAGAAAAGGGGATCCGGCAACGCCTACCTTGTCTGCCTCAGCATCAGTCTCAGTGTTCTTGCGCTTCTTCGACGCCTTGGACTTTTTAGAGTCATCCGCGTCCTCCATTTCAACATCAGTTTCGGCTCCCTTGCTCTTGCGCTTGCCCTTCTTAGAGTCCTTTGCGGCCTTGGCAGCTGCCTTCTCGGCCTTCTCGGCCTCAATTTCAGCCTCCTCTTGGTCGATGGCGGCCTGGTGGTCGTTCAACAGCTTCTTAAAGTACGCAAGGTCATGACCTTCGGAGGCAACCTTGTAAGCGCTGATCAATTGCTTGGTCTTGTTCTTCTCGGAGATTTCCTTGCACTCGGCAGGTTCGAGGGGGGTAAGCGCAGTGTTCGGGACCCAAGCGCTGTCGCGAGTAGTCAGTAAGAAATTCGCGTTGGTGTTATAGCATGGGCGGGTGTCAACTTACAATTCATTGGTCTCGAAGAACATCACGGGGAAAGTCCGTTCATGGGTGCGACGGCCACCGTCGGCGTACTCGCCCTTGTAAGACCCATCCTTCTGCATGGCGGTAACAGGACGGTTCTCGAGCAGGCTCTCGGGAAGGATCTCATCATCGCAGATGATGGAGGGCCAGGGCGCATAGCTGCGAAGGCGCGCAAGGTAGTATTGACCAGGCTTAGCATCCAGGTGGGTAATGCGAGTCACAGACTTCTTGCGGCTCAGCTTCGACTGGTTGGCACCTCCGGAAGCGCGGCGGTTCTTGGAGGACTTCTTTGCGGAGGCAGGGGTTCCGTTGGCCTCGGCGGGCGCAGCGGCCTCAGCATCAGCAGGAGCAGCGGCGGCATCGTCACCATCAGCCTTGGGCTCGGAAGGCTCATCAGCAGTAGCAGGCTTATCGGCCCCAGCTCCGGTGTCCTTCTTGTTGTCGGTCGCAACTGCGCTCTCTGGGGGAAGAAACAATGAGTTAGCGGTTTTTGGTCGCACAGAGATTGGAGGCCCCCGGTCGGGGGCCAGCTGTGAGGAATGGGGACATAGGGATATTGAGCTATATCAATGGGGTCGTGCTTACCGGCAGGCTTGTCGTCGACAGTCTCAGTCTCCGACTTCTTCTCGGTGGGCTTCTCGGCGCGCGCGGTTTCGCCAGCCTCAACAGGCGCAGGGACAGGGGTATCCTCAGCCATGGTTGCTAGTAAAAGCAATACGTAGAACTGGGGAAGCGATTGGTGAAAGTTGGGGGAGGGGGGAGCAGCTTCCAGGGGAGGTTGCAGAGAGATGTGGAGAAGAAAGAGTCGCGAAAGGCGCGGGAACTCCAAGACGCGTTGGGAACGGCAACCTCGATGACGCCACAATCAACGTCGTTTCAGCTTTTGGTCTTCTTGTGTCTTCCACGTTCTCAGACGTTGAAAATGGCTTTCAAAAATAGCTTCTGATAGCTTGGATTGTGAAGATTCGATTCACTTCTGAAGTCGCCTAAGCTCGATTCACGTCGAGTGATTCTCAAGCTCCAACAAAAGCCTTGGACGAAATTGGAGAGTCCAAAGAGTCAAGTGACTGGATTGGGCACTTGAGATGCAGGCACGTGCAAGCTTGAGAGCTACATGTATCTTGGCCCTGAAGTAAGTTATCCCGGAGTATACCAGTTTGTCCTTCCCAGTCGTGGGTCGTCAGTCTGGTACCAGCATATATCTCGCTCCAATGCGCATAAATGTCGAATTTTTATCTTGCGAATGCTGGTATCACAATGCATTGACGTCAATGTCCATGTCCATGTCCATGTCCATGTCAAAGCTTCGAGCGCATCGAAGTACCGCATACTGACTGCCACCTCTTCGGGTTCTCAACTCTTCGGAGGCTTCAAATCACTTTCAATCATCCACATGAATTAGCAATTATCTCCTGAAACAAGTGAGGATATATAGAAAGTGAACGCTATATTCCCACATATCAATGGCCCAACGCAAGTTTAGTGCCAACTGAAAAAGAATGAGAACCTTCCATTCAGCCGTATAGCCTTCACGCCTTAAAACCCTTCAGGCTGTGAGGTGATATGGTATATTTCGTGTCTGGGTATGAATCGCCATAAAGCCAAGCACTATAAAAAGTGTTAGACCACCGATAATAGATCTGAACGGGTACATGTGAAATTCCCATGGCCGCGAAACTTACCGGACTTATTGGTGATAGACTGGATTGCAATGCATGTTATCCATCATGGACATATGGCTTAGACAGTCCGGGTAAGTTGGAAGGTAAAAAAAAGATGAGGTTGTCAAGACAATTGGATGGCGGGTGGTTAGAAATCTTCATCAGATTCTGTTGAGCGTGTGAGCGCCAGATGCTACAATTTGCAGTTCGTTCTTTGGGTTTCTTCGATATGTACATAACTGGCCTTATTCTTCGCTGGTGAAAGTCCCCGATCATGTTTCTCTGGGTGGCTATATTCTGCCTACAATTCATCATATAGATATTTAGCATATTGATGTGGAGGATAATGGACAAAGAAATGCACATATGGGCAATACAAGCAATCCCAAGGGTCCTCTTAAAGACGCGCATGTCCCAGTACTTCAAACAAAGAATTATTAGCCAATTAAATAAGAATAAAACTTGATTCTAGGTAGAAGCTGGAGTGGTATCATAACACACCCAAGTTGTTATCGACAAAGTCCAGGTAGTAACAATAATTCAAAGTCACATACACAAATTACCAACAGCCTGGCGGTTTCATACAGGGTATCACATTCTAAACAGGGACGCTGATCCAACAGACGTCAGACCAATAATGCAATGCCTTCCGACGGCCATTCATGAGATGACAGCATGACTCCATAACCCCTCACTAGAAGACCGACTATCCAAGCTTTCAGGGATGACAGTGACAAGCGATGGCTCCGGTTTGTGGATACGGACAAGCCACAGAAAGTAGTCTTCCAGCGGCAGCAAATTAAGCAGCATCCCATTGAACCGCCATCCCAGTGCGCAGACCAAGGCTCCTGCCACTGCATCCAGGATGAAATGGTTGGCCGTGGCAACAATGGCTACCAGAATGATGAACGGATAGGAAAACCCGAGAATAAGGCACATCAGGCGGCGCCAGGGTGGAAGAGTCAGCCTTACTCGGGTTAGGCGAGTCCGCAGTACTGTTCGTCGTTGCTGCGGCAGAGGGATCGTCATGATTGTGAGACCGATCATGAGAGAGTAACCGAAGTGCAAGGATGGCATGGCGGCTGATGATGGTTAGCCATGAATCTATCAAGTGTCGGGAAACGACCTACCATATTGATTACAAAAACGGTTTTCTGTCCACACACTGCCCGCTCCATTGGTACCATGCACAGTATCAACAAAGCCATAACTGCGAGCCAGCTCACCCTCCTGCCCACCGATGTTGGTGTCACTTAGTAACCTGGGCGGCATGCAAGGCCACAGAGTGAACACCACAAATGCGAGCAGGTTGCACACAGCCAGCGTCCGTCGACGCGCTTGGTATAGAAGAGGGCCTGCGGGTGACCCGCTCACAGCGCCTCTGGGCTTTCCTGCCTGAGTCTCGTCGACTCGATTCCGCGTGGTGGTGAAGTAATAAAGCCAGACGAGGAAAGCGATGGTACCGGGGATATGAATGAACGAATATATCCAATTGATCCAAATCATCGCGCGGGGATGGAGCAAGAAGTTCCTCTGGATGACAGTTTCCCAAAATATATCTAGACGCTGCTCAATCTTGATGAGTTGTAGGGCATGTCGTCTCGCAACATCGACTGTATCGTCCTTGAGGGTCACGGCGGTAAAGGCTCTGCCAAGCTGGTATGTCTGTACGGGTTGTGAGCTTCTCATTCTTTGTATGAAGGCACAAGATCATAGGATATAGATCGGGTAGCCCCTAGGCACGGACGCAGAACAAACTTACCCAGTATACCAAGGCCCAGTACCAGCATTCTACCAAGAAAGGAAGCTTCCGTAGCAGACGACTGAGCAACCGATCTTGGAAAATAACAGTATTTGGCGATGACACCTCTAAGGTCAACCCCAAGATTCCCACCTGTCGCTTGTGCCATCCATCGGGAATTTGATGCAAGGGTGAACGGGAACGCGGGGTGAGAAGTCCATCCTTTGTTGTTGGACTTGAGTATCCGGACTCGAGGGAATCAGGTGAGGCTGCCCGCACCAAGTCTGCGGATTTCCGGCGAGCAAAATGACGGTGAGCGTTTGTACCAGTTGTACGGTTGATCCATGTGCCTCCAAACAGTAGGATAATGACTACTAGCGGTTCGAGGACCGCTCCAACACCCATGATAAAGGATATAACAGTACTCGATACGGAGAATAAGGAATGGGAAGCCCTGGGTGGTAGGATAAGAAGAGAGAAGCCATACTGGGCAGGAGCCAGGGGTGAAGTCACCAGAATCCCTGTTGAAAATACTAGTTTTGCTTCCGTCTACTCCGTAATACATGTATAATAGGTCCACAAGGCTGGCCCTGTACTTGGCGGTGGAGCTGAATCATTGGCGTCTGCACAATAATCCATGTATAGTGTCGCGTGCCTCGTTTTCGTATTTCGTAGTATAGCGTATAACCCCGGTGATACCTGCCCAGGTGTACACGGAATCCCTGTGTCAGTCCGAATCAAAGACCATTGACCCTGAAAAGTCTTGTATGATACATGTACACCGGTCAGGCAGATGTGCTCCCATTGGCTTGGCGTTGGGTTTGTCCAACTCTAGACAGGAGATGCTAAGTCCGGTTTTATGCACGGCGATTCTCAGATCTCCGAAGTCCGAATGTCTCAAGGGCCGAGTGGAAACGGCATAAGATCATCCACAGGTACAATAGTGGGCATAGTGGAATAATTGTATGTAAACGCCAAGAACCTCGGGATCGAACCGGATCGCCTTGACTCAGCGGGATCGGCGCTCGGATCGTTGAATCGCCGATTCGGATGTTTGGTCTTTGCAACTCCGCGCTTGGCGGCCTGCCAACTGTAAGATCCGGCTCCCGATGCGCTATTGTTGGACGAATTAACTTAGAAGCAGGTTTATCTCGTATTCGTTCGCGTTGGGTGGATTTCGAGTGCTGAGATGAAAAAGCTTGTATTTTTTTCCGCCATAGAAGTATATAACGGTCTGTATATATTTTGTAGTGGTGAACCCTATAACAGTAGCACAGTAGCGGTCTCGGGTGGCAGAATGCCTAGCACCATATTCAGCTCAGTTTACTCCGCAAAAAATGAATCAATTCATGCACCACAATATGACTACTTTCTCTTCGGGTTCTTGACTTCATGACACAGTATCAGGTTAAGCGGTCTACGCTATAAAGAAGTCACTCTCTACAACCCCTACCGATCAGGGGAGTGGTCGGTTGTATGCTCTTTGTTGATATCGACCCGTCTGCTATGCCAGACTGCCATTGTGCCATCCCCATTTCAGTATATAAATATGTCTCTTCATTGCTTCCATACTTCTGACTTGTACTTTCTTACTCCCTTGAGCTATGTTTGGTTTCCTGTTGGACCGACCGTCTCTCCTCCAATGAAGAGCGTATAACTAGTACTGGGTGATGTATACTTGACGTCAACCCTCACACCACCATGACCACCAGCCGTCCGGAATGTTGGTTTTTCGCAGAGAATGAATGTGATAATTTGTTCGAAATATATAAACCCCAGACAAAGCAGCTGTGAAGTCTATACATACAGTCCAGAGCTGTACTGTCTACCATCTACCTAGTCCATCTATCATCATCATCGTCATCCTTTGAATAGTCCATCGTCCATAATGTTCCTCGCAAAGGCTCCAATTACATCTGCCTGTAAGGGTGTCTTGAACCCCGCGTCCCAGATCCCCAAGGTTGCCTCGGCCGCACGATCCAGAGGATTTTCAACCACACCGAGTGCATATCAAGGAGTCACGCTGTTGCAGGATAAGGAGAATGGCTTTGGGTTTGCGAGGTCAAACCCTAGACCTGTCAAGCCTAGATCCAAGGGCGTGACTGAGATTCGAGGTCCATACTATTCAGTAAGTGGAGTATACTCCTTTCACTAAGCATATGATGATGCTCTGTAAGTTCCCAAGCTAACCTAGACGAGGTTATGGGCAAAAGATACCTGGCAGACGTGCTCGAAACGTAATTACCCACGATACCTAGCCTACGCGACAGTACTGACAGCAGCTTATAGGATGGGCAACCATGTAGATGGTCTCAAGTTTGCGGGAGGTAAGTGCTAGTCTTGAAACTGTTTCTGAGACTTGTCAGCAGGAACTGAGACAAAACCACAGGTTCATTCTCTCTCTTTGAGGAAAAGCCCCTGCGCGAACTGATCGATCTAGCCCACGAACACGGTGTATATGTCTCGACGGTAAGATTGCCCCGAAATCAGCACATCTTGAGCATTCCTAACACCACGTGGACCTCAGGGCGGATGGGCCGAACATCTCCTTACGCACCCTGACCCGAACACCGTATTCGACCGCTATTTGACAAAATGCAAGGATCTCGGGTACGTGCATCTTCAAATATCCCAGACTTCAACAGAGAGCTGACCATTCGCAGCCTCGATGTAATCGAACTATCCTCCGGCTTTCTCTCAATCCCAGAAGATGACTGGCTCCGCCTCGTCGATAAAGTCCACTCATACAAACTGGAAGCAAAGCCCGAGCTGGGTATTCAGTTTGGTGCTGGCGGGGACACACCTGCCTCAGGACTTGAAGCAATCGGTACCTCAGACCCCGGAAAGCTGGTTAACTTGGGTCATAGGTTCCTCGATGCCGGTGTAAAGCGGTTGATGATTGAGTCGGAGGGAATTACGGAGAATGTTACCTCCTGGCGGACTGATGTTGTGTCTCGGATTATGAAGGAGCTTCCTTCTGAGCGGGTCATGTTTGAAGCTGCCGATCCTAAGGTGTTCAACTGGTATATTCGGGAGTTTGGTATTGATGTGAATCTGTTTGTGGATCATAGCCAGATTGTGCAGTTGGAGTGTTTGCGTTCTGGGATTTGGGGGACTGCTGATACTTGGGGGAAGATTGTTTCATTCCGTAGTTAGACCCACGAAGTGTAATTAACCTTGAATAGTCAATATCGAGAAGAGAAGAGAACTTTCAACAGAATAGAAAGTTGAGCTAGGGCAGAGATTACGTAAGCCCAGAGACGTTGGCTGACCACCACAACGTCATATCTCACTTCGATTCACAACTTACCTTGCCCCTAGTGAGTCGACATTGGGGGCAACAAGTTTGAACATTCCCTGTACATTGATCTCTGTAATCTTGCTCAAGCTTTGATCATCTCCGCACGCTCTAGCTCAGCATCAGGACTTGACCGAAAGCACCCGGCCCGCGCCAGGGAACTGTGCAGCACTTCCGCAGAACGGAGACTCGTCTCCCTCACACCACAAATATGAACGGAGAAACCCAATCTCACAGGAGCAGCGCGTCATCCAACTCACAGCCCCAGTCCAAGCGCACCCACAGAAGAAAAGGGTAAGCCATACTCAACCACGACACATACACAATACTCAAAACTAACACCCCAAAGCATCACCTGGGCACCCTTAAACATAAGCCTAAAACGCCGTCTCCAAACCTTCCTCGTCCTCTGCCACACATTGACAATCCCCATCTTCCTAACGATCTTCTTTTTCACCTGCGCCATCCCAATCTTCTGGCCCCTCCTAGTCCCCTACTTGGTCTACATCTCGCTCTTCTCAACAGCAGCAACATCCGGCGAGCTAAAAGGCCGCAGCCAATTCCTACGCTCACTCCCAATCTTCAAACTCTACGCTTCCTACTTCCCCGCTCGTCTCCACCGCGAAGAGGAACTGCCACCGACAAAGAAGTATATTTTCGGATATCACCCGCACGGGATTCTCTCACATGGCGCATTCGCCGCGTTTGGAACTGAGGCATTGGGATTTTCGAAGTTGTTCCCGGGAATTACGAATTCGCTGTTGACGCTCGATGCTAATTTCCGGATTCCGTTTTATCGTGAGTATGCACTTGGCTTGGGGATAGCGAGTGTGTCGCGGGAATCCTGCGAGAATATCCTTACGAAGGGTGGTTCGGATGGAGAGGGAATGGGGAGGGCAATTACTATTGTCGTCGGTGGGGCGCGGGAATCACTCAATGCGCAGCCTCACTCGCTACGGCTTGTGTTGAAACGGCGGAAGGGGTTTATCAAGCTTGCTATCCGGACTGGGGCGGATCTCGTTCCTGTTTTGTCTTTCGGGGAGAATGATATCTACGAGCAGATTCATTCTGATGAGCATCCGCTTATTCATAAGCTTCAGATGTTTATTAAGCGGACTATGGGCTTTACTATTCCACTGTTCCATGCCCGTGGTGTGTTCAATTATGACGTGGGTTTGATGCCTTATCGCCATCCGCTTAATATTGTTGTTGGGCGGCCGATTTCTGTTATGCAGCAGCAGAATCGGGATAAGATTGACGATCAGTATATTGATGAGTTGCATTCGAGATATGTACAGGAATTGATGCGGTTGTGGGATCAGTACAAGGATGTTTATGCTAAGGAACGGGAGGGCGAGCTGGAGATTGGCTCGTGAGGGATTGAACCATGTCTGTTCAGTCTACTGTTTACAATACATATATAGCAGATTAAGGAACTCACTAAGTTAACAGCAAATCGTACATGTTCAAGTAGTTCAGATTAAATACACACGCAAGAATGGTAAACCTATGAATTGGGTATCAGATCAGAAAAGTTAAAATGCTTCAAAAGCACAAGAATAAAAAAGATTCATCATCATCCTCGGAACGGCGAACTGAGGCTTGGATCCCACGACGGCGCAGTAGGGTTCAAGCCCGGCACTTCAGCCGATGAAGATTCACGTCGACTCTCACTGGTGACACTCTTGACGTTCATGGAAGAACGATCATTCGCATGTCCACCGTCCATTCGACCCTGGATCATCTCGTCCAGTAATCGAGAGACTTCATCCATGTTTTTGCCACCATCCGTCTGGTCATTGACTCTGCTGGCTCTGCTAGAGCCAGAAAAGGCCCGCTTGTTTGGGCTTTCGGGCTTGTCAGTGGGAAGACCACTGGTCCTGATGGGACCGTCTATCTCGCCCACAGAGTCACCCTTGTTTTTCAACTCGGGTGACTGGGACTCATTGGTGACGGCAGCCAGGTCGCGATGACGCGTTGCAGAGCGAAGTGCAGCGAGCATGCGATCCTTGTCGTCGAGCTGGAGGCGGAGTTCGTTGATCTCCATGTCCTTCTCCCGAACCAAGGCAATCATATCCGGTTGTTCGGCAATGGTGGCATTCGCAGGCTTGACACCCACTGACATGCGGGTGTGACTGGATCGACGAGCTTGGAGAAGTCGGCGTTCCAGGGTTGAGATGTATCGGTTTTTATCACTAAGGTCGGCCTGCAACGCAGTTACCTGCCGCTGCAGGCTGGCTTTGCCATCGCCAAATTCACCAAGGTCCTCTTCATCCTCGGGGCCAAATGATCCCCCCGGGTAATGCAATGCCGAGGGGTCGTTGCTATTGACGGACATGAATGAGATGGGGCGCATCGATGAATGGACAGCACTCAGGGTCGATTGACTAGCGGACGAACGTAGAGAGCGAACACCAGAATCCGTCGAAGACATGCGGGAAAGCCGACCAAATGTAGACAGACTGTTGTGGTTGTTAACTCCTGTTGACTTGGAGCTCAAAATTAGACGGTTAAGATGTTCGATTCGCTCTTTCAGCGCTGTTCGGGCCAACTGCATTTCCAACACTTGCTCCTCGTGGCGGGCCTGCGCCTCTTTTTCATACTGCTGTTCATCCCATTTGAGTTCCTTTTCAGCCTGAAACTTGGCCTGAGTATCAAGCTGACCGCGCAGAGCTTGGATCTCCATGCGGTACCGCTCAAGCAAGACTCGGCTTCCAGAGTCCCCGCCGCCACCGCCGTATGCCTCCTCTGCCTTTTTGGCATGGCTGACAATGTTGTTCTTGGCTCGCGCAGCAAATTTCATGGTGTTTAGGGTCTCACCAGTGTTCGCATTGACAGAGCTAGTAAGTTGGATCGTGCACAGGATACTGACAAGAGAACCGCCAGACAAAGCTGGCTGTAGCAGCCTGGTCAACTTGCTGTCACGGTAGGGCAAATGCCTCCCATCGCGATCCATGGGGTTGCCTTGCTTGTCCTTGTTTTCGGAGAGCCGGGAGATAATGGTACCCAGAGTGAGAAGACTCTTGTTGATGTGCGCACCCTCCGTGCGACGCTCCTTGTCATCGGCTGCGCGCTCGGATCCAGCCAGATCAATCAGGCTCAGGGTTGACACCCGTACACCTCCCGGGGCAATCCCAGATCTCTTGTCCTGGGAATTGCCTGAGGGCACACGCTCTCGGCTCTCAACGACGATTTGGACAACCGCGTGACTTCGGGAACTTCGTGCATTGAACTGCGTGCTGCTGGTGCGTCGTGCGTGGTCACCTCTTGCAATTACGCGAAGAAGTTGTGTCGGGCTCTGCACAATCTCTTCCTTGAGCGGCGTGGCATACACTCCTCGCTTGCTATCCTCTCTCAATTTGATCTCTTCCTGAGGTGCTGCAGGTCCATTGGCAGACGAAGCAGATAGGAGATCGTTGATCTTCTCGTTGTAGATTTCCAGGTAGCTGACCCGCAGCAGGAACTCTCGATGGGGGGTTTCTCTGATAAAAGAGAAAATGTCGGTGATGGCCAGTGGAATCACACCGGGGGACGTCGCTGTTCCTTGCATGGAAAAGGTCTTTCCGGTCCCGGTCATACCATATGCGAAGACCGTTCCGTGGTAGCCTTCCATTACACGCCTGACAAGTCGTTTGGCTGCTGAATCGTACACCTTGGCGTTGTTCTCCATGGGATTGAATACGTTGTCTGTTCAAACTCATCAGTCGCAATATTGGGTTTCCGGTTCGATAATGCTCACCATAGTAATAATCGCCTCCTTCCTTTCCTCGATATGAGATGAGGCTTTGCCGGCCATCAACCGACCATTCGCCATGATTCCGCGGCGTTTCGCCTCCGCTGTTATTGTCGGGGCGCACACGTACACTCACAATCACATTGCCCTTGATCTCTTTTTGCTTGGTAGTCGATTTGCTTGCCGTATCGTCTGCATCCTCAAATGTAGTAGCGCTAGTCGAACATGATCCTTGCGCGGATGAGCTTCTGCTGTGGGCGGGAGAAGCGTCTGGATCCCGTGTGTCCGCACTCGAGATGAATTTGCCTTCTCCACTACCGTTGAGCAGTGACGGTGTTTTTGAGCTACGGTAGCTGCTAGTAGTTCCCGTGCTCAGCCGTGAGCTTCGCGCCGGTCGCGAGCTGGGCGTGGCGGCTTGGATGCCCGAGAGTGAAGATGCCGTAGACGGACGGCCGCCTGCTTTTGGTGGTTGAGGGAATGATGCGATGCTGATTGTGCGGCGCAAGGATTTGTCCGGGCTGCTCGGTGCGCGTCCGCTGGATGCGGACCGGGCCGCGCTGAGGTTGGAAGTTGAGTTTGAATTTGATAGGGGAGACTTCAGCGACGGTTTGGGGCTGGATGGCGTCCGCAGCTTGGACGTGTTATAGGGAGACGCGGCCCGGGGTGTCTCGGAGCCGGGTGTAGACCTTCTAGGTTTGGGGTTGGGGAGGGCAGGTAATGATCCGGTTGGGGGGTTTGTAACTGGCCGCGATGGCTGAGGTAGAGCCGACATTGAAGCCATGCCGACTGAATTTCTGAAGTCGAGTGGGGTGGATGAATTCAGCGAGTATATGTGAGCGCGACGGCCATGCGGGCGGATTGGAGAGATGGTAGTGTCCTGCGATAGTCAAAATTAGCCAAACGCACTGAGACATCGACGATTGGGCCGTTGAATGGGCCATGTTTCCAAGGTAAACACGAACCCACAGGACCTCCGAGCTCAGGATATCCTCAATGTTTTGAACGGGAGGGGGTTTCGGGTACGTACAGATCCAAACGACCAAGCGTTGTAATCGCGACGGGAGGAGAGAGAGAGAGGTTCGCGAGAAGTGGATAGAATGATCGTCGAGAGAGACGCGAAAGTCAGAACTCAGGTGGGAGAAAAGAGAAAAAGCGACTAATCTCCCCCGCAGAGGGCGAGACTCTTATGATCTGATATTCAGATTTTTAGTATTGGCCCCTGGATTTGTAAACAGGTTCTACTGGAAATGTATTGCATAACTACTTGACTCCTTCCCTCCCATGGCCCTCCCTCTATACCTGCCTATGTACCTCGACTCCCTCGAAAAGGGGTGTGATGGAACTAAAACTCATCACAGTGTAGTTAAGAAGCTCGGGGCATCGCAGGCAAGTGGAGGTTTCAAGTTCGGGACAAAGGAGAAAAGGGGGACGAATGGGATGGGAGAATGAGAGCTTCTTCTGAGGTGGAGCCAGCCCATTATTGTGACCGGAAGAGATAAGTTACAGATGTTACAGTGGGAGTGTAGGAGTGAGGAGTGTAGGAGTGAAGGGAAGAAGGGAAAAAGGGAAGGATCAAGGAAGATATAGTTCTTCTCTACTTACATCTCCCTGTGAAGGTATAAGGGGTTGAATTGAACCCCCATGAACTCCTGTTCAAGAAACGGCTCGATAACGGGCTAGATTTGAAGATCAAAAGCCACTTAATTTACTAAATTCGCAGGAAATTAATCGGGCAGTTAGCGTTGATCCTCATTTATGTCCCGTGACATGTTATCTCCCATACAAATGCTGTATAATCAACTTGACTTATACTGTAATAGCATTTCCTTCTGGAATACGAGGATCGACAATCTCTCGTGGGATAAGAATGCGCTAAAGTGAGGGTTCCTCTGATAGATCCAACCCTCATGCAAGGGTGCCAATATCCGTTCCGAGGAGGCAAGCAGTCTTTAGGGCCTGCAGAGACCTTCGATCTATTGGACAGTGCAACATGACAGGTAGATGATCGTGGGCAATGGATCTGAGCGTTGACATCCTCTCTGTCCCTCTCCATTTGTCATTGGGACTATCGCTTCCAACTGCATGTACCTGTACAGTAGGTCCTCCGCTATCATCCAATAGTGGCTGCAGATATGCCATGCATAATGTCTCGGCTGAGGTGGCAACGAATAATTCCATTATTAGCCTTCTATTTATTTGCTGTTTTCTTTCGTGTTTTCGTTATTTCATTGCGCCGAAATCCAGTTGCCGGGCAGCGCTCTTGAAGAGCCCTTCGTCCAGTTCCCCACCACGCCGTGTCAAATCATCTCCCATCTTTTTAGTTCCACCGGACTTCCGGGGGAGATCTTCATTGCTGGTAGGTCGGGGGTCAATGGTCCACCAGTCGTTTCGAAGCACCTGCACCGCTGTGCTGCGTTTGCGTGGGTCGAGGACGCACATCGACATCAGCAGATCCGCACCCACCGGTCCAGCGGTGGGAAACTGTCGCATAAAGAAGTCGCGTCCTGACAAGGGTATTTGTTGCGCGTTGTCCGTGATAATGTAGTTGGGAAGCTTCGTAACTCCAGGCCAGTTATCTTCCGTCGGCGTACCAAACGCTTCGCAGATTTTAGAAATCTGATCCAAGTCTGTGTTGCCGGCCACAAAGGGAACACGGAGCAGGAGCTCGGCAAAGACCATGCCCATTGACCACACGTCCACTGCGCCAGAGTATTGGCGAGCACCATAGAGCAATTCAGGAGGCCGGTACCAGCGAGTGATGACTTGATGGGTCATGTTGAGATACGGATCAGCAAAGGATCGAGCCAGACCAAAATCAGCCAGTTTGACCTCTCCGTCCGCCGCGATCAACAAGTTGTTAGGCTTGATATCGCGGTGAAGAACAAAGTTCTCATGACAGAACCAAACGCCTCGAGCAAGCATTCCCATCCACGCTTTGATATCAGCTGCACCGTAGTGAATGTCCGTGTCTTTAATGAGCATCTCCAGGTCTCCACCGGGAAGGAATTCAAGAACCAAGTTGAGGTTCTGGTCTTTGGAGGAGAACACATCGTGAAGTGCAATGACATTAGGATGGGCCAACTCCTGAAGATATTTCACTTCGCGGATTGCGTCCATGGTGAGTCCATCTTTGTATTCCGCATTGACTTTGATTTTCTTGATCGCAACGAAGGACGAGGTATCGTGTCGGAGGTGGCCGAGATATACAACCGCATAGGTACCTTCACCTAGCTTCTTATCTGGCCTAAAGTTAGCATTGAAGATCTTGTGGTACATTGGAACTGTACATACCTTTGACGTATCTCTCTCGCACATCGATATTCAGTTGCTCAGTAAGCTCTCGATCTTCATTCTGAACAGCCTTTGCTGAAGCAACCGTACCACTAGCAGAGTTTTGTGCAGCAGTTGCTCTCAGTCTGACGGCTGTATTCGGTGAATGTACTGTCATAGAAGGCGAACGAGAGCCAAAGGGCGAGAGCGCCATGGCTGGTAGGTGCTGAAGCACGAAGCTGGCGAAATTCTATGGTAAGCGAAGATATGAGAAGAAAACAAGAAGACCACAAAGATTGAGTGGCCGTGTCAATTATCAAGAGATCATCTTAAATAAGATATACTCGTCCAGGCGAGTCGTGTTCGACGACGGTCATGCCTTCACCGTTGACTGGCCCGGAGTATAGTTAATCCCGGTCTCTGCTGAGCGACGCCAAAATTTCTCCGGATCAGCCAACAGTAACCTCAGTCAATTCGTCGGCACTGCTGAATACCTGTCATTTCCGAGATCTCAGGCCCCCCTCCCCTGCTCACCGTTTCTTTACGGTTCCAATTGTTCTCCAGGGGTGACCTAGTGAACAGCAACAGCGGGCTTCCGGAGTCCGCCCGCAAATCACCATCACCGTGTGCGCCATGGCAATGCGCAATTCGCCGCTCAGCGGCCTGTCATCGCGCTTCTTCAAGACCGTCCGCACTACCAACCAATTCATTCGCCCATTCCACAAAAAGACCGCTCCTACCGTGCCATCTCCGACCCCTTTCGTTCCCGATGTCCCGACCTTCCTCACCTTGATCGGCCGCGAAATGTCAAAGCAAGCGAGCAAGATTCCCTCATGGGAGGACCTTTTCACCTACAACTCGAACCAGCTCCGCGAAGCTGGCGTTGAGCCCGCGCGCCAGCGCCGATACCTCATCCGGAAACGCGAGAAGTTCAGGCACGGTCTGTACGGCCCCGGCGGTGACCTAGTAGAGGTGGTTGATGGGGTTGCACAGCTGCGCGTTGTCCAAGTGCCTGCTGGATCAACTGGCTTGACAGAGGAAGGTGAAGGCTCGGAGGTGAAAGCTTCGGCTACATTGTCACCTGGTATGGTGAAAACTCTTGTCAACGTGGCACCTGATGCCACCACTTTCAAGCCGAGCAAGAATTACGAGTTCAAGAAATTCGCGCACATGAGAATCCACCGTGGGACTAGTCCTAAAGGTCCATACCTTCAACCTTTGAAGGGTAGCAATGGCACTGCTGCTACCATCTCGGTTCAGGAAGGCATGTGGGAGGACAAGCGCGGACACAAGGTTGATGGTGGTGAGCGACGACGCAGGGAGGTCCAGAACAAGAAGAGACTGGATGAAAGAAGAAAGGCATAAACTTCCAAAGGTGTACATTCTACCTTGTGTATCTCGCATATTTCTCGTTGAGCCTGGATGTTCGTTTCCTGTACTATACTATTGCAATCATGATGTATTTCTCATCCAATGTTGACCTCGAACGAGCAAGACAATTTCGTCTAATTGATATCTCATTAAAATGATATAGTAACTATGAACATTAAAAAGCATAGGTGGATCAGCCGCAAGATAATTTACATGGAGCAATCGTTTCAAGGTAAAGAAGTAACAAAACTTCGATGCAAGCAGAAGGCCGCGGGTTTCAGAACACCAGATAGTTCTCTGCCGCACCAACGTAGGTCGTTAAGTGTGATAGTCCAATATCGGACGGGAAGATTTTGGTTGTAGACACGTTACTCTGATTATGCCTTGACTCCACGCTTCTCGTACTGAACGAAGGATGTACCCAGGGGCTTGGAGAAAAGAGACTGGAAATGGGTTAGTAAGATGACTTGAAAATTGTAGGGTTTGACTTACTGAGTAGTCTGTCTCGGGGAAAGGGGCGTTCTTGTCAGGGACGGAGAACTTGAAGTGTCTCACGAGAGTAGCCAGGATTGTGGCCAACTGCACATAGGCGAACTGCTCACCAATGCAACGGTGACGGCCGGCACCGAAGGGGAGATAGGGGCTATTGGTACCCTTGGTGACCAGTCCATATCCATAATCGATCTTCTCTTCGTCTTCTTCGTCTTTGGGGGCCTCGACCTCATCCCAACGGTGGGGGTTCCACTTCAGAGGCTCGGGGAAGAATTCCTCAGAGCGGGCAGTAACACCGGGGGAAGACAGGACGTTGTGAGTGGTGGGAATGACATAAGAGGTTCCTTCGACAGGCATGGGGTTCTTGACGGCACGGATGATGGAGTGAATGGGAGCGTGAATACGGAGAGTCTCCTTGATGACCTTGTTGTGCAGGTCAAGCTTCTGGAGGCTTTCGTGGGTGAGATCAGGCAGATCGGAACCCAAAACACGGATTTGCTCTTGATAGAGCTCCTCGATGAGTTCAGGGCAGGTAGCCAGGCGCAGAACAATCCAAGCAGCAGTAGAGGAAGACGAGTGTTGGCCAGCCATGAGCAACGCGATCATCATGTGGGCGATCTCACTATCAGGAATCGGGGTACCGTTCTTGTAAGTGCACGACATCAGGTTCCAGACCATGTCCTCGGAGTCCTTCTTGCCACCAGCGGCACGGCGCGCCTGGATAATGTCCATGTAGGTCTCGGTCAGCTTCTTCTGGGCAGCGTCGCGCTTGCGGTTGTGGGGTAGCGGGGCCCAGGGCAGCATGAAGTTAATGGGCGCGAAGCCCTTGTCGAGGTCGTGGTACATTTCCGCAAAAGTCGCATCAAAACGGTCGCGTACTTCCTTTCCTTGTAGCGAGCGGGATGCAGTGTAGATGGTGATCTCGGCAATGACCTTGGAGACGTTGAAGGTGCCCTTGGGGTCCTGGAAAGCGGAGGAGTTCTTGACGAATTGGTCGACCTCGTTGGTGATCAGGGGAACATAAGATCGGAGCGCTTCGGAGGTGAGGCCGAACTTGACAAACTGTACATTGTAAGTAATTGCGTGTTATGGTCCACGTTGGCGTTCTTACTTTCTTCTGCTCCATGAGCTTGGAGTTAGGGCAATCGTAAACGACATCAGTGCCGAAGACTGGGGTGGTGAGAGGCGAGTAGACCTCCTCGGCGCAGACATCACGAAGTTTGCCATTGAGGATGAATTCGTTACCCTTGGTGCCTAGATAGACGGTGGTCTTCTTGCCGAGAAGGACGAAAGTGAAAATATCGCCATACTAGACACAAGCGCCCAGTCAGAAATTGCCTGTTCGTCTCAAAGATTCGCAACATACCTTTGCGCGTGCCTGGTTGAAGAAGGTGTAGGGGTCCATGCCATAACTGATGGTGCTGCCAACAAAGGGGAACCAGTGGAAAACGACCGGGGGCTCATGAGATTTCTTGAAGAACAGCTGGCTCAACACATTGATCACAACCGAGAGCGCAATGAACGACAGTGCTCCGACACCAGCCAGAGTGTAGATTGACTGGGTCGAGCAGTGCTCGCAAAAGGTCTCGAGAAAACTTGTAAACAGGCCCATTTTAAAAAGACAGAATAGAGAAGGAAAGCAAAGCAAAGCAAAAAGAAACGGGTACACGAAGACCCTTGAAGTCGAAGTTGCGTCAAGGTTGAAGATTGAACAGGAGGCGAGAGGAAAATAAGTCAGCTATCATTCGGCGAGAGAGGACCCGCCCCCTAGAGGAACGTACGACTAACATATACGCTAACTACTTTTTCTATTGGGTTAACCACTTACAAGATATGTTTTTAATTTTATTCCAGGGGCTCTTTTGTCTCTACTCTTCAATGGGACTAGACACGACAAATATGGCCTTATATTGCACATCACGCCACGTCGGTTAAGGGGTTCCCGGTCTACAGGGTACATAGAACGTGATCTGTTGTACATGTATTGCTGCGCCTTTGGGTCTAATAGTTAATAGTGAATCTCATAAAACCCATACCCTTTTGATCCCCATCCCACTTACAAATCCCATAAGACATAAAAATTCACAGGCTTGTGGCTCAATTATCGTACAAGGTGGGATCGCCACGTTCTCCGATGTTGATAAAATCCTTCGGGTCTCGGTTGCCACTCGGCGAGGCTTCGCGCCGAGAGGCCTTGGGTGGCCGGTTGTAAGTGCGCTTGCCAGGATCGTTCTGGCTGAACACTTTGACCGGCGCCTCGCTGCCCTGAGTGTGTTCACTGAAGGGAGCATCGTTGACACTGCTAAGCAGCGTCCTTTCTCGCTTCATTTTACGCTTAGAAAAGTCCAGGTTGCCCAGGGCCCCGGTCAGACCGTCGGTGCTGTCGGTAACACTGGGGTATTTCCCGGTCATCCAAGGATGCTCTAGACATTGGTCCACAGTGATTCTCTTCTCAATATCCACAGTAAGCATCCTGTCAATCAGGTCCAACGCGGGGTCGCCAACAGAGTCCCAGTAGGGGGACGGATAGTCGAATTTGCCCAATTTGATCTGCTGCGCGAGCGTGTATGGGTTCTCCAAGGTGTTCAATTCGTCGGAGAAAGGCGGGAAGCCACAGAGGCAGATGTATAGGACAACACCAAGGGACCATACATCGACAGCCTTGGTGTATCGTCGGCGGCGGGTGTCCTGCAAAATCTCGGGAGCAACATCTGTAAAATGAGTACGAGGATTTAGTGTTTTGAGGGCAGTTTCTTCTCCACTTACAGCTTGGTGTGCCACAGCTGGAATTGAGTGTTAGCACGGTGCCTCAAATATATAGGAACAAGCCTTCACTTACAGTGTAGTGGTGAATGAGTCCTCTCCGATGATCTTCGCCAACCCAAAGTCGCCTAGCTTCACGCTCAAGTGCTTGTCCGCGAGTAGGATGTTCTCCGGCTTGATATCTCGATGAACAATTCCGCGTTCATGCTAATGATAATTTATTAGCTTGTTTCCACAGCACATAATTGATATACTTACCAGATACTTTAGTCCATCAAAGAGCTGACGGAACACATGGCGGGCTTCGTTTTCGCTCAATTTCTGCTGAGTCACAATCAGGTTGAACAATTCGCCTTCAGGTGCCAGTTCAAGGACTAAATAGGCACCGTCATTGTCATCAAATGTGTCCTTTAGGCACAGCAAGTTCGGGTGGTTAACGCCCATCAAAACCGCAATTTCTTGCTGTAGAGCTTCACCTTGCGTCTTTTGCGAGTCACTAGCCCGTCTTTCAAAAACCTTGACGGCATACTTGGTCCCAGTGGATCGCTCAGCACATAGGTAGACCGTAGCGAAGTGGCCTTTCCCGAGCTGCTGGAGGATACGGTACTGCTGGCGGAAACCGTGGGTTTCCCGAGTGCGAGGGTAGCGGAAGACAAACCGGGCTTCGTTCAGAATAGATATTTCGTCGCCGTCTTCCAACTCGCGGTTCTGGTTCCGGCCCACAATAGCATCGTTGATAAAGGTTCCGTTGCTGGAGAGATCCTCAAGCATGGCCACCATATCGCCCTTTCTGTTCTCGGCGAAAATGAGAAAATGCCGATTGGAGATGGTGGGAATAGCAAGCACCCGATCTGGTAATAATTAATTGATACTCTTCGTCAATCAGCCACCTGCACTTACCGCACTCGGGGTGACGGCCGACCAAGAAGCCACCCGGCGACTGGGCATTCTTGCACCACTCGTTCTTTTTTCCAGACTTTACTTTGGCAGGACTGCTGTCATCTCTGCATTGAGTGCGCTTTTTCAATACGAGCGGACCTTTGCCATGCTCGTCGAGTGGTAGCAAGTAGCCCCAGACCCCTTCGGCGTCCTCATCCTCTACCTCATCTGCGAATGCCCTGGGGGGATACACGAATTGCGAAAGTGCCTGGGTATCCTCTGGGGGCGAAGAAACAGCGTATGATAATTCTGGCTGGGATGGAGAGTGTTGACGGCCTTTGTGAGGGCTTTCCGGGGGTGTTGCGGTCACATCCTTGCGAGTATCCGCAATGGTCGAATCAGGGCCGGTGAGAGGAGTGGGCAGGTAATCCAGGTCGACCGGTGTCTCTTGCACAGGCACTTGACTCGATATTCTCTGCGAGCGTCGAGGCCGTTTTTGGGAGTCGGAGTCGGCGGCGGCCTATAGTAAACCCTGTAAGCAATGAACAAGTCTGAGCAGATATGAAACATACTCGGCCCCGCTTGAGTGAGCTTTTCTCACGGGGTGCCATAACGCTGCCAGATATCACGCCGAGGAGGCTTCCCCAGACCAATGAGCGATGATTGCTAGGGGGGTTCGGTGACGCAGCGCCAATGTGAATGATGAAGCCTTCTTTACAGGAATGAGAGAAGCATGAATCAAAGACAAGTATGCGGCTCTCAGCGATACAGGCAATTCAGGGGTGGAAGAAGAAAGACCTGAAGAAAGCTGTTTGAGCCTCCCTGGCGCCTTCTCCGCCCGAGAAACCAATGGAAATAAAGTTGGAAACTGCGGAAACTACGCATCACATTCTAAATAAATATCCACACAGCTCTGTACTTGTCTGTGAATTTGGTTATATCAAAACATATGTAAATTTTCATAGTCCGAAGTAAACAAGTTCGGCTCGGACCTAGGTTCGCGTCCCGACACGTGCCCCTGACCTCATCCTTCCCAAGGGTTCTTCATTCCCTAGGTCCTCACTCAACAATGGACGGGTATGTTGATTCTTGGAGGTTGCTGGATCTGTACTAATGGACTACTCAAGCCTTTCAGGTGGTATCAGACAATTTGCTTTTCAGAAGCTCGCTGCGTTGGCGGTTGAGTCCCCCCGCGATGGGACAGAGCTCACTCGCCTCGCGCAGCAGTCTCGGCCACGCCAGCCCGATGGTGCTCTCAATGGAGTCTTGAGAGATCAGGCACCGACATCGCGGGTTCCGATGGTGTGTCTATATTGCTCTTAGGCATCCCTCGCGATAGTGTGATGTAGGCTAACATCTGCCAGGGAATCCGCGAACTAGATGTCCTCCTAGCCCTATGCAAGGCGGCCGCATCGGTCAATGCAGATAATGCCTCTCAACTAGCCTCACAACTGTCCCGCTACCTGCCAGAATCCCACAGCCAGCTGTTTCGACCCTCGCCATTCCTTCCTAGTATAAAACCATCCCCATGGGAGACCCTCACACACAATCTGACTCTGGCACTCTTGTCCTTGGGTTTGAAGTACCCGGCAATTCGGAAGACAGCCCTTGATGCCGTGCATGGGTATTTGAACAACTGCGCGGAAGCCATCAATGCAGTCACACCTTTCCAATACTCCAAGTCCGATGGACATGGTGTGGTTCATGAATCCGTTGCAGTTTTGTCAATTGCGGTTTCACTCGTCGGTTTCATGGAAGCCGCAGCCCAGTACACTTCTATCTGGCTCGCGAGTGAGAAACTAAAAATAGTTGATCATCTACGTGCGATGCTGTCTGAGCCTTTCATAATCGCAGTTGAGACGGCTTCCTCCACTCTTCGCAATACTCACACTGCAGAGCCCGCTTTCAGAGATTGGAGAAAATATACCCGCCGATATGCTGCTCATGGCCGCCCATTAGGCGCTATGCTCGTGCAAGAGGGCTTCATGCGCTTTGTGAAGTCATGCGCAGCTTCTCTGATAGGATCCCAGCACTTGACTGATGATCAGCTCTTAGATGACTATATGACTGGTGTCGGTATTGCTAAGAGCTACGATGAAGACGATATTGCTCTCATCGAGCGCGTCACCAATATCATCAGTGAGGAAATTCACTTGCTAGAGGATGGTGCTGACTACCTGAAAGTCGGCTCACCCTGGCAGCAGCGTCTTGCCTTTTCTGTCAAAGGACATGCATTGGTTGGATTCCTCAACTGCGTGATTCTTGGCGAAGATGCGACTAACAACGATGTACTGCTTTCCTGGCTCGAAGATGCATTGCTTGATCCCCAGCAAATGTCAAATGCGGAATTGGCTATAACTTCTTTGAAATGTACCGCAATTGTTGCAAGAATGTCGCCAAATGGTGCCTCCATCGGAAGACGCTGCCTCTTGAGGTTCCTTTCTCAGGGAGGTGTGTCGGCACGTCCAACCGTCGCAGTTGCCTCCCGATGCCTCGCCCAGATCCTAACCATCCTTTCCGAGGATGCAGTGATTACAACGCTGTATTCACTTGGAAACGCGTTGAGCCCGGCCACCAACGTCGATCAATCTAGCCAGGACCAACTCGCTGGAGATCATGCCGGACCGGGCATGAACCTCGAAGGTTACCAAAAGACTGGAAGCCAGACTTCCATCACCGTTGAAGGCGAAGAGGATACTGTGACTCACAGAAATGTGATCCATGCCATCGTAACAATTGCGACTAACTGTAACGATGATAAGATCAGCGCATTGGCCCAGTCTATGCTTCTTCAAAAGATTGGCAAGATCAACGTTGCAGTGGATGCGTATATAATCCAGGAGACTGCAGTTCTTGCGCTCAGTGGAGGTCAAGCCGAGTTCCAGCTTCTGTTGAAGTTTTACACTCGTGTCTATCTTGACGGCATCAACAAGGGACTGGACGCTATCTCTGATGCTGTACAATGCGCCATGGTTTATCTTTCTGTAACCATGGACCAAAAGTCACCACTTCACCGAATCTATTTGACCCATCTGCTGGAGAGCATCGTCAACAAGGGTGATGTGCCAGACCTGGATCATGAGCGCCACAAGGAGATTGTCTTTTCCGCAGATGATATCACTCCGCTGTTGAAGCCACTTGCTTTGCTCGTTTCTTCTAAAGGTAATACCAGGGGGGATTCCTGGTCAATCTTGGATTACGATGATACCATTTTGTCTTTGTTCCGTGATGTCTGGTTCAACATTGCCATCCACGGAATATCACTCAGCTCCACTGTTGCCCAAAAGCATCACAAGGAGCTTCGTCTTCTTGCGCATCATTCCCCGCCATTGGTTGCCGGGAACCATATGGAATCTCTGGAGAGCGACGTGGAACTAAACACAGTTCTCAGGCGCGGTGCAGGACCACAGCGTGTAATGGAACAGAAGAGAGCTTTGATTTCGGAACTTCCTGGCCGGGATTCAGATATCAAGAGAATAGATTACCCAAGGGCAGTATTCCTTAACGCCGTACTCCTGGTTGAGAGCCTCCGCGCTTCGTCTGGAGACTCTACCAAGATCCTCGACTACTTCCTAGATCCCGCACTGGCCACTCCCGAGATGGTTATTTGCATGAATGCCGTCGCGGAAAAAGTGGTTACCTGCTACCTATCCCTGACACTGTCAGGAGAGCATGATGACTTCTCGGCCCCTTACTTATCCAAGCAGCTTGCTGAATTCCTGGTGTCCTGCTGCCATCGTATTGAACGGGTCCAAAGCATTGCAACCCTGTGCGCTGACAAGATCATTCGCGAATGCCCGTCAGCGCTGTGCGAAAAGCACTCTCTCTTTGCCTTACTTGAGATTCTCACTGTTATGTGGTCTTCCTGTCTGCAAGGCGAACTAGATGAGTTTGAGTGGAAGTCATCTTTGGTCTCCCCTATGGGCATTGTCAAGGTCGAATTGCCTGATAACTATGCGCTAAGAAAGGCGACCCTTCATCGGTTTCATGCAAAGGCCAGGGCTTGGGTCATAGCCGTCTTGAACATTGCCCCATTGGACATCAAGGGTTTACTTCAGACCTATCTCTCCGAATACGATGATGACGGCGGCTATGGGCACATTTCGATAGGCCGTTCTTTTGCCCTGGAGATGGGCTCCATCATACCACAGAGCGACCCGCGACTTGGATCAATTGATGTCCACGGCAGCAGCGAAATCAATATAGCCTCTGATTTCATGGCGCTGTACACGACACGTCAAAAGTACCGGCGTCCGGATATGCCTTCTATCAATGGCCTGGATGGAGAGGTCTACAGGGATTATGACCAAAACCCTCGCGCCAGACTTCTGCCCGAGTCTGCTGATGCTCTGGAAGAATCCCTCGCTAGTTTGTACAGACGGAGCATCGATAACGAGGACATCACTCTTGTTGAAGTTAGAGATGCTCTTCGGCGGGCCGCAGGCCTCATTTGTAGCAGCAGCAAGCCCAGGCTGTCTGTGGTTCACTATTTGGTTGCTTTGCCTTTCCAGATTTTCAGCAAGGAAACCATCAAGCTGGGTGTCTCGCTTTGGCTTGGAGTCATTCACGAAAACCCAAGCACTGAACCACGGATTTTCTCTGAAGTCATTGAAGCCTGGGAGAGAAGTATAAACCGCCGAAAGGGGTTGTTTGATCCTTCCTTTGCGTAAGTTCCTGTATTGCATGTATCTGATCTCGAAGCTGATTGTTCTAGATATCTTGACCCACTGCACACGAAGATCGAGCTACTGCCAACTGACAAGGAACTTATGCTTCGAATGCAGCAAAAGGCTCAAGATACCCTCTCGCCACACTTGCGAGTTCTTCAATTTTTTGAGAGCCATTTCAATGCTATCCGCTTGGGCAACTTGCAAGACCAACAGCTGTTCTGTCGCTTGGTTAGCAGTACCGTAATTGGTCTGGCCAAGACCGAGTGTCATCCTTTGGCCAGAGAAATTCATTTCCGCATTGTACTATTTGGGCTCAAGGTTCTCAGGCACCTCAGTCCCTGCAACAGTGGTGCTTCTTGGAAACTCAAGGACCAGATTTTGTCTGCTGCTTTGAGTTGGTTCAAGCATGCTCCAAGGTAGGCAACGGTTTTACCTTGCATAAAACCACCATTCTAATCTCTCATAGATGGTCATTTGGAGGAAATAGACTTCAGATTAAAGCAGAAGACAAGGTCCTCAGTGATGTGACGATGGAATTGCGAGGCGTTGCTGGCATTGCTGCACTGGCACAGGGATCGTACAAGTCATTGCAGGCCAAGCAAGACTTGCTGCAGATCCTTGTGGACAATGAGCGAGCACGTCTCCGGGTTTGGCTGTTCCCTCTGGACCCTGAGCGCAAGCACCATATGCCTAGCATTGGAGGCAAGACCCCTGCTGAGGTATGTTCGCCTTCATTGAGCCGCATCTGCATCCGTTTGACTCACATTCATAGGGCCCTGTATCCCTCCTTCGACTGGCCTGGGCCGAAAGTCCGGGGCTGGCTATCCAGATGGCTACTCGTTTCCCGTCGCCCAAGATGCAAAGCGATGTCAGATGGTTGATACTCAATTTCCCCGAAAGGGTCATTGAGGAGCCAAGTGCTCTTGAAATCATGTTTGACA